TTTCCGGATTTGTACCTCTTATGATTGCTCTGTCGTCTTCCTTTGGATTTCTTCTATTTGCATTTAGGACAGGACCCAGCCATGGGGCTAAAAGTCTGAGTCTTCATTTCCTGTTCTACTTCTGCGTCTTAGCAGATTTTTCAATCACATCCCAAGCGGTGGCCATCAGCTTTTTGTGTGAGACCCGATACGCCATGCTCTGGCACGGCTTTTGGGTGGGTGACGACCGGGGCCAGCCTAATCTGCTTGTAACGTCAACGGATTGCTGGATTCTCCGCTTCGTCCCCAACGGTAATGCTGTACGAGTCACAGATTAAGTCTTCTATCTCCGTGTTTGTCTGCGTGCTTAAAACCCGCTCCTGAGCCAAGAGGTCCCAAACAGTCAACAACAAGCTCCTTGCCAAAAGCCAGGGACGAGGTCAGACATCACTGGGAGCTGAGCCTGGATTGGCACCACACTGGACCGTGCCCCTGCAAACCTGATTAAATCCATCATTTTTGCTCCCAGAGTCTTTGACTATCCCTCAGCATCAAATGGGAAAATGTTGGTCTGGGTGCCACGTTTGTGAGTTGTTTTTTCCTTCCCGTCAGTATCAAAGTTACACGATGAGTGAGCGGTGCATTGATTACTGAATTATTTATCTTGCATCTCTGCCTTTGCTTCAAGAAACCTTTGTGTGTAGCACATTACCTTGGCTGAAAGCTGGTGCCTGATGTACTACAAGAAATTGGGAAGAGAATCTTATTTCTTGATGAAACGGGAAAATTATTCGGGTTACCAACTACCAGCACATGTGTTTCTTGCACTACAGTTTGTTGTTACGCAGAAATTCAAGCTTTTTCTTCCTTTCTCACCTTTTCTTGATGCCGGTGGCAACTGCACAGCTAAAGATGAATGCAAGGAATAGAAATGAGCAGTCCTAATTCTCCTCTGGGTTGCACAGCTGTGGATCGAGGAGAAGCTCCATTAAACTGAGCAGGGCACACCTATGTAATCGAGAGCTGAACTGAATCAGATAGGTGATATCTAGAGGTGATACGTGTTTTTAGTAGCGCACAGACATGATGCTGCCCAAGGGATTCAGGTAGCCGTTGGAGTCTGCACTGGCATAATATGGTGCGATGCAACAATACATTTAGATTTCAGTCTGCTCCCCAAATGATATTGAAATTTGGAGCTGGGGGCGGAATGCCTGTGTTTGCAATTGTGTCTGTGTGCGCTAAGGATTTTCTGCTTCAAAGATGAGCAGTAAGAAAATAAAGGACTCAGCTTGTATTGTGCCTGTTAAAAAAAAAAAAAAAAAAAGCTGCATAAAGAGTTTGTTTTCCATCAATTGTCAGAGGTATGGCCCACAAATCACATTCGGCCCACATGGTACATTGACACCTATTCTGCAGGGTATCATCTTTCCTATTTTAGAAAAGTAAGTTTAGTGCTGCAAGGAGTAATCGGTGGAGTATTGCTGACCTGAGTCCACAGACAGCCTCTGATTACCAGTGATTTTCCATATCTTTCAGCAATTTACCTGAACATCAGCCCTTAGGGCCCCCCCCACTAGGGGTAGGAGCCACCTTAGCTAGTTTTGGACACCTCTATTGTAGATTTCCATCTCCAAAGTGTCCTCTTCACACACCCCTTTAGGTCAGTATCATCTGACCTAGTTTAAATACCTGCTTTATGCAGAGGTGACTGTAGAAGTCTCTTTTCCTTCTTTCCCTTGAATGTAAAGTAGAATAGAATAGAATAGAATAGAATAGAATAGAATAGAATAGAATAGAATAGAATAGAATAGAATAGAATAGAATAGAATAGAATAGAATAGAATAGAATAGACTATTTAAGTTGGAAGGGACCTACAATGATCATCTAGCAAAGGTATGGATGTCTTGCTCAGAGGTGGCACATGCACTGGGTTACTTGAGTCTCACCTGACTTGTTTCATTGAATAACTGAGTTTTTCAGTGATAGCTGCAAAATAACTGGTTCAAGAACACTTCCTCAGCCCTGGCAGTGTCTGATGCATTTTCTTAGGGTCTGAAAAACAGGCTGGGGCAAAGAAACCCAAGATTTAATTAAATTAGGTGGTTCACCTGCTGTGAGGGTGCTTCCTGCAGGTGGCCTTTCCCTTTTTTTTTCCCCAGCAGTGAGGTTGACGCCACCACGGTAACACTTAATGGGAGCTCAGGTCTCAGCAGCAGAATAAATCTATTGCCTGGGTCACATCAGTTCCTTAGATAAGCATTTACCTCTTACTATGCTCGTGCACAACATGTGTCACAGCAGGACCTGGATCTCAGCTGTGCCTGCTGTTGCAGAGGTATAGTAAATCATCAGATCAGGGTCCAGCATGGCTCTTCGGGCTCATACTTCTATCTCTGCAGTGAAGAGTCTAATGTTACCCTGGGGAGCTGTAACCTAAACCGGATGGTATTGCTGATGGGCTGCCAGCCAGGTTTGTTTTCCTCCATCGTGTCCCTCCCCTTATTGTCCTAAGTGTGTTTATTTGTTTCCCACATAAGGTATAGCACGTTCCTTTAGAAAAAGCACGCTGATAGGAGGTTTCATGCTGTTGCTCTGCCCCTTGACGCATACAGACGGGAGGCTGGTTTCCAAGCTGGGTCATCCCTTCAGGGGGATGGGATTTCCCGTTTCCAGGAGGCTGCACGCTCGGGCTATTCAGACAGCACTGCAAACGCCAAGTGCCTCTGGCTGACACACGTGACTCCGTCTAACGAGTCCCACTCCTGCTAGCAGAGGAGAAATGCAAAAAATATGCAATTGAAATGCATGGAATTACAGACCTTCAGCAGCCCCAGTGTCAGGGTAAAAATAAGCACATTTGTGTAATAGGACTGCAGAGACGGGATTCAGCCCTCTGGGCTTCCACCTCTGCTCCAAGGATAACCTAGCACGAATCATTCCACTCCTCTGTTCCTTAGTTTACTTTTTGGCAGCACACAGAGATACACAGCCTCAAAAATATGGTACAAGGTGTAGCTGAGCAATGATTGTAAAGTGTGCTCCACTGCAAAGTGAGATAAACACATTGGCAGGTCTTTCTCAGGTCTGCTGCTCCCACACTGCTCCAGTTACCATGGTATGGCTGTAAGGAAAGGTGTGCTAATGAGCAAAGAGCATCTGTAGGACCCAGATCAAATCCACAGAGCCCATCCTATGCGTCCCTTTATATACATTTATGCAGTTCGTCCTTCTGCGTGCATCCTCTCATTGATTATTAGCTTTGATTGGACATCTGTCTTTCTAGGGGAGCAAAAATACAGTCCTTTACAGCACTGTGTGTTCAGATCATGCTGTAGGTAGATATGAGATTGCTACATTTGATGTGCATCTCCTTCTCCTTACATTACTATTGCATCTCATGTACATTTTTGCTTGCTCCTTTGGTGGACAATAAACATCCATCTTATTAATGTCTAACCTGCCTTCTTATCCATGAGACTCAACCTCTTCCTTAAATCACCTGCACAGCTACAAGAATTAGACACCTTATTGTTTCAGGGGTTTATAATATGGCTTAAGCCTACAAGGTTATTAATCCATTATCTGTCCCTTGGGCAAGGATTGCCTCACTCTTGTCATTGCTGTTCACTGATGAGCAGAAGTAGCTCGGTATGAGTTTGATGTAGCCATCATCTATGGTTATCCTTGGTGACTGTGTCCTTTCAAGGGGAACCTTTGTTCTTCTAGATAACTTTCCACCAAGAATATGTCTTCAGCATCATGGACAAATGGATTCAAAACCCCATGGAATCAAGGCATCGGTAGAGTTTGGCATGAAAATAGTGATAAATAAGAATGGCATGGAAAGCTTAGCAGCTGCACCACTATCTAGTCATGCATTGCTCTCGTCTGTACCAATGAGGTCGAGTTAAATTCAAAATGTCCATGGAAGACACTGGGGCCCAGCTAGACTAGCTTTAAATTCTCTAAAAGAGCAGAAAAGCCTTTCCTAGATGAAAATGAGAAATCTCAAGTGTATCTAAGATAGGACAAGAAAAAGCAAATCTAGGGTGAGTGTAAAATGTCCTGTGCTCTTCTGATTGGGCCAGCAGTCCTGATTAGTCCTTACAAGAACAGTCCTCCTACCTAGGAGGACAGATTGCAGAAGTGGGTCTGTAGAGCAGTCAGTGCAACCTCGTTATCTCCGTGGTCCTCATGTTCAGCACATTTTCATCTATAGCCCAGGCGCTCCTCTCACCTATAGGAACAGAGGCTGTCCTGCTCTGAACACCTTCCACTCAATTATTTAAAATTCAGTTGCTATGGATCTACTCAAGGCGATCAGTTTAAAGAAAATGCAGATGGCCTCTGGTTTTGAGTTCCCGCTGTGCTTTGGTTAATTTGGTATGTAAAGGTATTAGGTTAATTAAATGCCATGTGTTGCATGAGGACTGACTGCATTTGTGGATTAATAAGCACCTGAGTGTGTTCTATGCTGAAAGTCCTCAAGCTGGCAGATGGTTATTTCACTAAGGAAGGAAGGTAACGGAGAGAAGTCACGGGGAAATGAAGAGGTTTCCTGCTAATCCTGCAGCTATTTTTCCAGAACGGGTGGTTGCAGCGTCCTTCAGGTCTCCGACCAAGTATCACCTCTTACTGGAGAGACTGTAAGAATTTAAGTGAAGAGAAGTAAAGTTCTTCAGTTTGCTTTGAGACTCTTGCAGTGTTGGTCGTATGGAGTGAGTATGCTAGCCGGCCAGGGGAGGACCATGGCTGGTGTGTGGAAATTTTTCTGCTAGGAAAAGATCTTTACCAAGAGCCATACCGTGAATCAGGTCAGAGTGTGTCCTGCAAAGAGCAGGCATGGTCACGCTGGAGGTCTGAAGCAAACCAGCCACAGCTATTTGGGATTCATGGTGGAATACATGTAGAAAGCAGAGAGAGGGACAAATACCACTGCAAGATTTTGGACATGTTGAAGAGGAAGAAAGTTGTTTTCATGCAGCCATGCGCTGAGGTGGTGGAAGATCAGGAGAGAGACCAGGGCAAATGGACACTACTCCGCAATGTCAACCAGGCCCTGAAGCCCACGACCATTTTAGCGGTAAGATAGGGGTTCCTAAGCCCTGAGCATGACTGGAAGCTTTCAGGTTACTTTGAAATTGGTCTTGCTGTTTGATGGGATCCTCATACTGCTTGTGCCAGCTTCTCTCACCTTCGTCCTGAGTCTTTGTTCCCCTCCAAGCACTTCAGCTCCCCTGTGGTGCAACCTTCTTGCTCTTTGCATTTGGAAGTTCCTCCTAAAGATCCTCTTCATGAATTGTGTTAATCTGTGCATGCACCCATCGTGGTGTTTCCTCCTCTTGCATCGCCATTTAGTTGTCACTGCCCATAGCTTGTGGGGTCCTGAGAGTCTTCCCCAGAGCATTTGGAAGGACACTAGCACCCAGTGGCTGCATTGAGGAGTAAGAGTTGAACCATGTTGATACTGTGAAGTGACTGGTGGTATTCTCACTTCTCCAGTACTCGGTCATGTGTGTTGGAAAACAAACTGCATCAGTCTAGGCATGAGGCAGGTTATGCAATTTATAAGCCAGTCTGCCCAAGCTGGTAAATGCATGAATCACACCAATTTGCCCTGAAATCCCCAAAATATCTGCTGCTTCTTGGGCTGATATGAAGGTGATCGCATCAGCGGAAGGAGTGTAACTGACTTCCATGGGTTTTATATCGAATTGATTAAAGTCAGGGAAAGAAATAGGTCAGCACTCTTAATAAGTGATTTTTTTTAACCCTCCAGATCTTTCTGAGCTTACCAGCTTAGCCCATCCCATAAGACTTGCTTCTTTCACCAGTATTAAGAACTGCACTTTAATGTGTTTAGAAAGAGCATTTTGATGGGATGAGCACCCTGTGCATCAGGCAGGCAAAGCACAGGAGTTGTCTTAGTGGTAGTACAGTATCAATTCACCTTGGGGAGAGCAGACCGCTTTTTTATCTCAGCTGTGTGGTAACAAAACACATGAAGCAGACCGCCTTTACAGCTATTCAAAATTAGAGATTTAAAAACCCCAGCATTACAATTGCTGTTTCCTTGATCGAGAGCAATTTTTACTCAGCTGCTGAGGTGTCAGAAGGGCTTTCTGCTGAGCAGGGACTGAGCGACCTGGCTCTTCTCTTGCTGATACCTTGATCAAGTTACCCACGCTGTGCATGAATTTGCCCAGCTCTGCAGCGAGGATAACAGTGCTGAACACTCTGAAATGCTTTGAGAGTCTTGGATCAAAGCAGATAAGAAATTAATATTAATATACGTGGATTTATAATGTATCTGTGCATGACTTACTGTATTCATTAGTTGGTGGAGTTTTTTTTTTCCTTTTTAACTGAGTTATGAGATGTGAGGGTATGGCAGTTAAGGAGAAAAAGATCTGAATATTATATTTTTATGAGCTGGGTAAAGATACTCATAACAGTGCTGTTGCACGCCCTCTGAGGAAAAGAAAATGCAAACTAAGGGCTGGATCCTCAGCTCCATGTAAGCAGGATGATTTTGTTGATATCCTAGGTGAAACCTAGCAAGCAAGTGCCAAGGGTGGAGTCTACCATAAAATGGCTGGGGACCCCTTGTGTGTAGTATTTCTCCATGCATGGATCCCCAGGTATAGCCTTACATCCCTGTGGCACTCACAGGTTAGTATCTCGTGAGCAGTGAGTTGGATGGTGAGCGTTTCACCGTGTTTTATATTGCTAGATGTCTCCAGTTCCCACTGCCCAGAGTGGAGCTGAAGGTTGTTCAGCAGCCCATTGGGTCAAACAAAATCTATAAATACTCTGTCCACAGAAATGATCGATAGTGGATGCTCAGGAAAGGGGTTATATCAGAGCACATGCAAAGTGATCCCTCCTATTTTTCACTTTCCCTTCTCCCAGCATTTTTTCAGGACTTCAAAAGGTAGATATTGCATTTGCATTGCGCTTAATAGCTACAAGTGGAGCTGGGCCCCAGGAATGTGGCATTAGGTGGGGCCACCAGTTCGCAACATTAAACTCAGCTGCATGAACGTGTATGTTTGCTTGCTTGATGCAAACATGCCTGACAATAATTTAACTACATAGGTCCCAATTTTAGCACCTCTTCACATTGAGAATAGGGGTGAGGAACAATGCTGCTTTGTTTCAAACAGTGTGGGTCTTGCTTGGGAGTGTAGTTTGGGGTTTGCTTTTGTATTGAGGAAAACAGCTCCTTTAAAAGCCTTTTTGCATTCGAGTAATTTAATCTCGACTGAGCTGATGAGCAGATAGTCCCTGCCCAGCAGGACTGACAGAGGTCTGTAGGATCACCAGTGACATGGACTGAGTGGATAAGGGTCAACTGCTTGCTGTGTCTTCCAAAACAAAAACACAGAGGTCTCAAATAAAAGAGGTGAAACATTTGAAACATGCAAAAGGACAAAGCTTTTCAAGCTATTTGTAGATAAAGTCTTCCTTTGAGATTATGGATGCTAAAACTTTGCACAGCTTCAGTAGATAAAATCCACCGACAAGTAGTAAATGCAAAGAGCCCACTTACAAATCACTGTAGCTGGAATACCTCCTGAAGAAGTATATATATATATATACTGGTATGTTCTTAACCCTTCCTTATCATCCCCTTTTCACCAGTCCCTAAAGTAGCAGAATGCATCTTTGATAGTGCTTAGCTACAAGGAAAAAATGTGCCACAAGCCTCCAGACAAGGCTTTCCATGGCTTAAAACCATCTCCTAAGCATGACTTTCTAGCAGAGGGAAACATCTAGCTGGGTGGGTTTTTCTGCCTGTATCACTGCTCTGTAACCTGTTTGCTGCTGGATGCAGTCTGTGACCAACAACCACTCGCAAGCTCATGAAACGGAGAGATAGTGCAGTGGGTGTATGCAGTGTGGAGCATGCCCTGCTGCTGTTACCTTGCAGGGGTTTTCCTGAGCACCTGTAAAAAAAGGAATGATGTGTGGTTTGCAAAGGAAGTCATTTAACTTGTACCAATGATTTTGGTCCAAAACATCAGCAGCTTGTATCCCAAGGGATGCTGAACCTTCTGCAGCCCTGAGTGTGACTGTCCTCTCTTTGGTTCCAGGGGGATTATGTGTGGATGGACCTCAAAACCGGACGGGAATTCGACGTCCCCATTGGAGCGGTGGTTAAACTGTGTGACTCTGGACAGATCCAGGTTGTGGATGATGAAGGCAATGTACGTACAAAGGATTGTGATGACCCTTCTTCAGCTCTATGGCCTGGCTAGGCCAGGGGTTATAGGGTCATAATGATTGACTTTGTCACAGGCTTCTCATATGTCCTTGGGAATCATGCCATAGTTTTCTATTTGTAAAGACAAGATAATGTTCTGTCCCTACTTTTGTGGCTGTACTGGGAGTGAAAGGTTGAGAAGCTTCTTGAGTACAATGATAACAGAAGCCTCCAAAGTACATTTAAATAGTGCTTTAAGCAAACCCACCTCGACCTGCTGTTCCTCTGCTGTTATCCAGTCCTTCTTGACCTCCTGCCAACACAGGATTGCCCAAACACTGGTTCTCCTTCAATTTCACTAGTCTACCAGGCAATGCTCACTTGCAGCCCAGAAAGCCAACTGCATCCTGGCTTCATCAAAAGCAATGTGACCAGCAGGTCGAGGGAGGGGATTCTGCCCCTCTACTCCGCTCTCATGAGACCCCCCCTGCAGTACTGCGTCCAGCTCTGGGGTCCCCAGGACAAGAAGGACATGGAGCTGTTGGAGCGAGTCCAGAGGAGGCCACGGAGATGATGCGAGGGCTGGAGCACCTCTGCTATGGAGACAGGCTGAGAGAGTTGGGCTGGTTCAGGCTGGAGAAGAGAAGGCTGCGGGGAGACCTTAGAGCCCCTTCCAGTCCCTACAGGGGCTCCAGGAAAGCTGGAGAGGGACTGGTGACAAGGGCAGGGAGTGACAGGCCAAGGGGGAATGGCCTGAAGCTGCAGGAGGGGAGATGGAGATGAGATGTGAGGCAGAAATCCTTCCCTGTGAGGGTGCTGAGGCCCTGGCACAGGTTGCCCCGAGAAGCTGTGGCTGCCCCTGGCTCCCTGGCAGTGTTGAAGGCCAGGTTGGATGGGGCTTTGGGCAAGCTGGGCTAGTGGAGGGTGTCCCTGCCCATGGCAGGGGGTTGGAACTAGATGGGCTTTGAGGTCCCTTCCAACCCAAACCAGTCTGTGCAGTGGTGGCTATTTTAGACTAACATCTGTATCACAAGCAAAGAATGATCTGAGGCAGTTCTCTTTCATCATTCTTTTTTCCAGCCTGGGATAAGTGTAAATGCTCTCATTCCCTCCAAGGATGGTAGACAGAGATTTGGCTCAGCAGAGTTCTTGTGTCCAATTTGAGGTGGCTTTTGAAGTAATCAATCTAAACAACACTCTGCCAATAAAAGTGTGATTTTGTCATCCCTGTGCATCCCTCTCTCCTTTTCTAGATCATCTTTTCTCTACTCAACAGTATTTTGTGGCAGAGAGTTAACCAGTGATGTGAAAATGTAGTTGTGTGGAGGGAAGAACAAATCTGCTATTTGTTAAAAACTCCCCCCGATACACTGGATGTCTGTGCTACCCTGGATGTCTCTTGCTGGTCCAGTAAACCAAAAGATGTTTTCCTTCCTCTTCAGTGAATCTTTCAAATTAGTCACTGCCATGTCCTAGAAATAGAAGCTCTGTCCTGTGCACTAATGCACCACCATGTATGTTCTTCCATCTGGTCCTTCTGCCTGGGGTGGGCTGTTTCTGTCTGTCATCCCAATGGTGTCTCATTTGACTTATCTTTCTCTGCCCTTGCTCTCTTCCCAGGAGCACTGGATTTCCCCGCAGAATGCCAGCCACATCAAACCCATGCACCCCACCTCCATCCATGGAGTGGAGGACATGATCCGCCTGGGGGACCTGAACGAGGCAGGAATCCTCAGGAACCTGCTGATCCGCTATCGAGAGCACCTCATCTATGTGAGTGTCCTCCCCACCTCCACCTCTTGCTCTGCACTGCACTCCCTGTTCCCCTTAGTTATGGCGAACCCACATGGTGGAAACCCTGACTGAACTGAGCATCTGGGTTTCTACTTTCACCTGGACCCAAGTGGTGGAGGGCTTCTGCACTGTAGAGGACACATTGCAGAGTTTATGGATGCCCTAGTGAAAGATGCCATGAGTTAGGTAATGAGCAAAGTCCGTGCCACCTCACTGTATAGCCCCTTTAGAAGTTTTGGGGACATGCGTTAACTTTCTGCACACACAATAACCAGACCATGTGCAAGCTGTAGTAAATCTAAAGCAAAAGCCTTTGGCAACTGCATGCTTGATATGGCCCTTCTTCCCTTTGAACCATTAACTCATTCAACCCAAGTGGATGAAGACAATTGCTGGACGTGCAAGGGGTGGAGGAAGGATGAGGAGTTGCATGCATGAAATAACTGGGTACAATGAAGTGAGCAACGCCCAGAACAGATGTAAAGTATCTCCTCCATCTGTGTTTATGACTTACTAGCTCTGGGTTGCCTGGGATCCTCACAGCTGATCTCTGGGGATAGCAGCATTCTTCCTTAGGTCAGCTCAGTCATGTCATGCCCAGTGGACCCAGTGCAGTGTTGCCAACCCAACCAGACACTTAGAAAATGAGCATTTTACATGGAGCCGGCCAGAACTACATCTCTTTTCTGCAATAACATTGCAAAAGCCACCTTCCCAGCAGGACAAGAGTCTCTGTGCTGATTTTATCAGTGTGCTATATATTGTGTAGTCTGGTACACATTCTTGGGGCAGAAGTACAGAGTGTGTGTGTGTTTGCCACTAGCTAATGTACTCAAACAGCCTATGCAAATATGGAAAATTTGATATTGGTCTCAAATCCTACAGTTTTCAGATACTCAGGTAAGTGCCTATTGTGCCTTTGAAGGCCTTTTCAAAGCCAACTGGGAATCTAGTTTTTACAAGGTTCTAGAGATTGCTAGATTTTCAGGCTGGAGGGAATTGCAGTAGTCTGACCTCCTAGATAGCATAAGCTAACAGACCACATCCAGGATCTTATCTATCAAGTGTGCTTGTTCTGCTTGATGTCCAGTAGCTTTTGAAAGGATGGTTTTGGATTAGAGCTGGGCAGCGATGGAGAACATACCACTCTATTACATAGGCTTTTCATATGGTTGACAGCCCCCTGCCCCCAACTCTGGAAGATATCCATCTCATCTTTCAGAGATGGATTTCAATCCTAGAGGAAGGGTATATTGCTGCTGAAAAGGCACCCCTAATTTCCCAAAGCTCGGAGGAGAAAAAAGACCCCAAAATTCATCTCTTACCAAGGCACCTTATTTGTTGTACATGATGCCTAGGTCCCCTGTATTGTCAGTTTAGAAGAAAAGTCATGACTAGAAAATTCTTCATGTGTTAGATGAGCTGAGTCACTCCCTGGAGCTCTTTTCAGGGAGCCACAGCCATTTATAATGATAAACTAGCAAAAGTTAGCAGGCCAAATTCATACTTGAGGTGGTGTCTTCATGTGCACTAAGCACCCAGAGCAGTCACCAGAGATATTGATAGAGCCAACAGAGCCACGACTGCCTTTCAGCCGTGCAGAGGTGCCTGTCAGATGAGGTGATTGCTTTACAGCTGGCTGGAGCTTGGGTATCATAGAAGAGTTGATGTTGGAAGGAAAGTTCAGGTTGAAAGTCTATAGTCCCAACTTCCTCCAGCTCAGAGAATGTCCACCTTCAAGATGTAGTACTTATGTGGATAACTAAATTCAAGCAACCTGAATGCTACTCGAGAAGTACAGATAGCCAAGAATTTGTAGCTGATTGGCTCATTCAGGGAACATGTATTTATCCATTGAGCATTGCCCCTTTTTCTCCTATTTGTGGGCACCCTGCAGTGGTATCAAGTGGATTCCTGCAGCTCTCTCTTGCTCTCTGAGAAAGCTGGGATCAAGTTGGATATTTTTCCATGGTGTCCATGTGTCCTTCCCAGTGTCCCTATGTCATCAGGCAAGAGGCTTTTGCCTCACCAAGTGAAAAGAGGTCCTCAGAGAAGATTTAATATGTGCAATATCAGATTGCCCATGAATAAAACCAGCTTCTTCAGTAAAGCTCTGCCTCTGAGTTCCCTCACCAAGCTATTCACAGACATCCAGGGAGATTATGAACACAAACAAGCACTGGGCAGAGAGTTGTTTGGCAGCATCATGCTAATAAGGGCTAATGCAAAGGGCAGCTGCTAACCTGGAGGTAAGTGCGGGCGGTGATTTGGGCTGAAATGACTCAGTAACCATGTAGTTTCTCTACGAGTTTTTCGGGTCTGATGGTGACAGAGCAATGTGTCTTACGGAGCTACGGCGTAAGGGATGGCCACATCCCACAAAGGGATTTGCATCACAGAGGTTCCAGGTTACCGTGCCTTGATTGCTCCACACCACTAACGGCTTTGGAGTGCCAGCCCACGATCTTGGGCACAACACAGCAACTAGTGCAATCTCAGAATTAGAATGACACTCTCAAAATTACACAGAGCACATAGCTTGATAGAGAGGCACGTAAAGCACCCTTGTCTACATGTGTTGTTGGAAGCTCAGGAACCCAACTTTAGATCTCATCTTTTAAGAGTGGTGGCACTAGGAGGAGTACATTTGTGTTGAATGTGGTAAATATTAATGGCCGTTTTGCAAAACCAAGATACCGTATGGATGCCATGTGGGTAGGGAAGGTGTTTTTTTCTAGGATGTAATTTGTGCTATTTTAAAGACGGTGAAACTCAGTGTGACTTTCCCTTCACTGCTTGAAAGGATTTCTGAGCCTGCTGAGTAAAGGGTGACTTTTCCAATGGGACTCTCCTGTTCCCTCAGCTCCTTAGCTTTGTGGAGGGTGTAATTCTGCTCTAATAAAATACAATTTTCCTTTTTCTCCTCCCTCACATTTTACTCGTAAGACAAACTGCGGTGGGAGGGTAAGTATAACTCTTGGTGCTGTCATTTGCAATTGCTGTCATGCCTTCCACTGGATCACTTGTTTCTGTTCACCATTGTGGCTTCTCATTTACATCGCACCACCATTGCTGCTGCTTCACAAATGCACTGAGAGCATCATCCCCTTTTTGCTGCAGAGCTTGACCCTCACGGTGAAGTTGCAACACCTTCCCAGAGCTGGAAGGTCTACAACTGGTGAATGTAGCTAAAGCTGTAAATGCTTCTCAGTAATAACCTCAATCTGAAGGAAAGAAACTTCTGTAGCGAAATGAGAAAAACTTCAACACGGGATTGTTTCCCGTGGTTTGGCTTGCATGCACTAAGAGAAACTATGCTGAATAGCAAGAGCGTCTGGTGGGGAGTTTGGACTCATGAGTGAGGTTAAATCTCTTTATCTGGAGACAAAACCAATGCCTGCTGTTGCTTTTTAAGGGGTGCCAAAATGCAATAATGTTTCGTAGAGCTTTAACCCCTAAAAATCCAGATGAAGTCAGCCATGGTGTTCTGGATAGGAAGGGAAGCAGGCTCAGAAAGGATTTGTTTGCGGCTAATTAAAATGTAGGTCATGCAGGCTGTAATGAATTTGCTCTGAGATGTGGTTCCTGTGGTCAGCTAAGGCACAGCCCCTGCCCATCGGTAAAGCTTTATTTTCCCAAGACAGGAGGGCTTTGCCCTCACCTGGGAATAGAAACCAGAGAGATAATATTTCCTTGGAGGTGCCCTTCGGCCCCTCATCAGCAAAGTGCACATAGTTTTGCATTCCATCAGTTGTGAGAATTGGGCAAATTGTGAGTATTTATCAACTAGGAATGACTTACGAAAACAAGCAATAGTACAAGAGTTCGTGCTGACAAAGTATTTTGTGGATCACAAGGGCAGGGTCAGTGGGAGC